CAAAATTGAAATGAATTTGCAATATTTAAAGAAGATGACAAAAACATGAACATACATCATCAAAATTTTAATAATTGTATGCTAGTATGTGAAATTGTGAATGACCATATACTATTATGTAATTGAACATCTACCAAAATAAAAATAAACAATTATCAAATATTTTGTCACTCCAAACTATGATAAAGAATGAATGCATGTTATTAATGAATATTTATATATATTATTTATCTATTGATATGTTAATGGTTGTATACTAATATATAAATGAACATTTATCAAAATGAAAATGAACATTAAAAAAAAAAAAAAGGATCACTACAAACTAAATTTATTAATACTTACATTTCTCCAGAATTCTTGTTTTCTTCTTTGAAATTGTTCCTTTGTTTTGCAAAAAAAATAAAAAAAATAAAAAAAAATTAAATAAAAAAAATAAGAAATAAAAATAAAAATGTATTGATTTAATTTACTAATTTTTGAACAAATATTACAAGAACTATATTATAATACTTACCTTGATACATTTTTCATGGTTGATTTTTCCATTATGTTCTTGAAATACAATCGCTACAAAAAAATTAGTAAAATCTTGGGTTTATACTCTTTTTCGTTCCAAACTTGAAAAAAATAACTTACTCTTTTCAAATTTCTCCTTTGTTTTGATGAATTTCAAAGTGATTGAACAAGTTCTTGTGATAATTTTGTAACAATTTTGCCATTAAAGCTTTTGATGAGAGAGAAAATGGCTAAGAAATAGGTGAGGATAAACATGGGCACGGGTCGTGCTCGTGCCGCCGCGGGCTGTGCCTGGCCGTGCCGTGCCGTGCCGTGCCTGAAATTGGCACACCCCAGCCCACGGCACGGCACGGCACGGCCCACGTGCCTTGCGGGCCGTGCCGTGCCGGGCCGCGGGCCAAACCGTGCCACCTTTTTTTTTAATAAATGAAAAAAAAACGAATTAAACGATATATATTTTTTTAGTACAACTTAATATATGTGATTAATTTATGTTAATGTTAATGTTAATATATTTTGTTTTCATTTTTTGAACAACTTTATTTTAATTTAGGTTATATAAATTATTTATCTAATTAATAATTATGTTTAAGTTTATTTAAACAAATAAAAACAATTTTATTAATTTAGCAAAAAACAACAATGCATATAATAAAAAAAAATACGAGTGCGATAATCCGAAAACACAAAAAATTGAAGAATAACTTATTTTATTATATGACGGTAGCCGGTACGAATGTACGATAATTCAATAATACAAAATAAGTAATGATAATTAAAATCGTACAATAGTGTATGAATATTGAATAACTTCATTTATTATACGGAATACGAAGTTCGATAATACAAAAAGAATGCAATAGTGTATAATGTAAATATGTAATCATGTAATTATTATTGGTCATCTTCGTCTTCGCCTTCGTCTTCATCTTCGTCTTCGTCTTCGTCTCCTAGAGGTTCAAGTTCATCCGCCAATTGAGTTGATTGAGAAGTATGAGAACTAAAAGAAGTCGACGTTCCTTCATCGTCGTCGTTTTGTGCATAAGTACGATCTTGAGAACGAGTTTCGGCATCCAACCAATCCTTGAAGCAAACACACATTTCAAGTGTTTTGGGTTTTAGTCTTGTTCTTCTATCGTCTAAAACTCGTCCCGACGCACTAAAAGCTCTTTCGGAGGCAACGGAGGAGACTTGGATAGCAAAAATATCACGAGCCATTGCCGACAAAATTGGATGTTTCACGGTTTGTGATTTCCACCAATCGAGGATGTCGAGGCCAAACTTCTCTTCATCGTTCATGCCTTTCATGAAGTCGTAACTTAAGTACATTTGCAACTCCGAAACATCGCTTTGTGTTCTCTTACTTGATGATGATTCCGTACCTGAAAACTTGGACATCATGTTAGCAGCTTGTGCAAATAAACCTTTGGCCCGTTTACTTACATTTTTGGATGTTTGAGAAGGGGCAAATCGAGACACGGTTCCATATTTACTTTCATAAACTCTATATAAAAAAAAATCATTAGTCACCTTATTTTTAAAAGTTTCAACATCATCTTCAAAATTCATGTTACTGTAATAAATATCAATTAATAAAAAGGTGCCATCATATTTTTGCCTAGGATCTAAAATAGAAGCAAAAATATAAATCATAGGAATATCGGTGTAATATTTACGCCATTTTTCCTCCATGGATGGAAGATATCCACGATAAACATGTTGAGATCGGTGTTCCGCAAAAAATTGTGCAAGTAAACATGCATTGCTAAGAAAAGAATGAGAACAAGGATTATATACATAAGAAAAACAATGTGTCATACCATATAGTAATTGTAAAAACTGCATATATTTTTCACAATTAACCCAATCATCTTCTAGTAAAGCACATTGTGGAAATTTCATATTATAAAAAAGTGTTAAATGAACCTTGTACTCGATTGCCCGACTCAACATTTCATAGGTGGAGTTCCACCTAGTTGGACAATCCGGTGCTATTTTTATGGTTTTTATCCGTTGTTGCCAGCAAAAACCTTTCCATTCTTGATATCTCATGTTAGAGCTATTAATAGACATAATAGCATTCCTTATTTTGTGATAAAATGGACCAATTGCTTGTGTTCCATCCTTCACATACAAGTTAAGAATATGACAAATGCATCTAACATGAAGTGCATCTCCATCTAATATAAAATTGGTCAATTGGGATTTGACCAAATTCGCACTATATGTCATAGAAGTTGCATTATCGAAAGTCATAGACATGATTTTATCCCTAAGACTATATGCATCAATGACTTCCATTAAATGATGTGAAATGTTAAGACCGGTATGAGGGTATTCAAGCATTTTGAAATGAATGATGCGTTTTTGTAACAATCACTCATTATCTAACCAATGACAAGTAACACATAAATAGTGAAGTCCGTATCCACCATCCCATGCATCGGCGGTTAAAGAAACTCTACTAGGAAGATTAGCTAATTCATTTACTAATTTCAATTTGTACTCTAGATAAGTCTTCATGGCAGCAGATCGAACGGTTTTTCGGGAGATTTTTTTTGTGTTTTGGTTGTAGTGCTCGGTTAATATAGTTGTTGAAGGCATCATTTTCGGCGAAAAGAAAAGGTTGTTCCGCATGTACAATCATTCTCCCAAGTTCATCCCTATCTCTCTCGTAATTGTAAATGAAGCCTTGTGGATGGAATTGAGAAATTTTGGGTTGGGTTGGATCACTAGATGGTCCACCACATTTTTTTGTATGTCTACTAAGGTGTCCCGTCCCTCCCTTGGTATCGGCCGAGAAAATTTTACCACAAGTCCGACACTTGGCTTTTTGTCCATTTTTACTTAATTGATAATGTGACCAAACTTCACTCTTTCTTTTGGTTTGAGCAAAATCCTCTTCAGTACACCACTCTAATATGTTAGGATTTTGGGTGTTGGGCATTTGGGTGGATGGTTCACTCGACCCGGAGGCTTGTGTTTGGCTACCTTGGGAAGGAGGAGGAAAAGGAAATTCATGTTGTTGAAATTGGGTTTGTTGAAATTGGGTCCAAGGAGCCATATCATCCATTTGTTTTTGCCCTCCCGTGTTTTGGGGATGAAAGAAAGGGGTGGAAGTGTTTGGAAAGGGCATGTTAGGGGGGGGGGCATAGGCATTGAAGTGTTTGGGTTTGGTGATTCCCTACGTTTTGACTTTGCTTTTCTAGAGGAGGAGGAAGCGTTTGGGTTTGATGCCATGATTAATTAATAATAATAACAATAAAAGTAACAATAACAATAATAATAATAATACAAATAACAATAACAAAGTAACAATAACAATAATAATAACAATTAACAACAATAATAATAACAATAACAATAAGAATTAGTAAGTAGTTTTTATATAAATTAAATTTTTAAAAATAATTATAATAATAGTAGATTACTTGGATCAATGAGATCCCAGGTAGGAGAGGTTAGGAGCGACGTTGTCCAGAGCCCAAGTCCCGCCTTAGACAGATTTCAACAATCCAAATAACCCACAATTAAAATAGAAAGTAGTTTTTATATAATTAAGTAGTTCCAACTTCCAAGAATACAATAATAATAATAATAATAATAATAATAATAATAATAATAATAATAATAATAATAATAATAATAATAATAATAACAAGATTAACAACTAACAATAACAATAACAAATTAAAATAAAGTTAAGTTAGATCTTACAATGACGCTTCAATGCTTTCCCAAATTTATAATTTCCCGAACTTATAATTTCCCGAATGTAAATATAACAATTTTTTTTTTTTTGGTAGTAGACTAATAAAAGTAATAATAGTAAAAATGTAAAATTTATAAGAGAGTAGGAATTTTTTTTTTTTTTTTTTCACAAAAGAGAGCAAGATTGTAGGATTTGTAGGAATTTGAGAATTGAGAATTTGGGAGTAAGAAAATTAGAGAATAAGAGAGAAGAGATGAGTTGATGAATTGTGAAAATTTTGGAGGAAAATATGAGGTATTAATAGGGAATTTGGGTGGGAAATGGGGTGGAAAACTAGCTAGCTGTTGGAAAACGGCCAAAAACGGCTAGTTTTCCAACGGTAATTTGGCACGGGCCGTGCCGGGCCGTGCCAGCGTGCCGGCCCACGTGTCGGCCAGCGTGCCGCCCGGCGTGCCACGTGCCGTGCCCATGCCAAATTCCAGAAATTTGTTCACGGCACGGCCCACGGCCCACAGGTGGGCCGCCGTTCCGTGCTGTGCCGCCCGCGTGCCGGCACGACCCGTGCCCATGTTTAGGTGAGGAGATAGAAAATGGCTAAGAAATGGGTGAGGAGAGAGAAAATGCAAATAGAAGTTATATATATATATATATATATATATATATATATATATATATATATATATATATATATATATATATATATATATAGGGGTAAAATGATTAAAATCAGTTAGTAGGCAATGGCCAATGGGTATGAAGATAAGATGATTAAACCTAGTGTTTTAATAGGGGGTGTAGGTAGAGCTCCCTACTCTAGGGGGTAGGGATAGATAATCACAGTCCATACGACCATACAAGCCCAACCCAACCCAACCCAACCCAACCCTTAAAATCTCCAAAAAGTCAATCAAATTACAAACAAATTCAATTGACATAAACGTAGATAGAATCATAGAATCCCCAAAAATTGTTGTCAACCTTTCTGCTGTTGCTCTCCCATGGCAGAAGCAGAGAAAATTCACGTGTTCTGGGAAGAGGGAATGTTAAAGCACAATACGGGTCGGGGTGTGTTCGATTCCGGGGAAGACCCGGGTTTTCTTGATGTCCTTGAAAATCACCCTGAAAATGGTGATAGGATCCGAAACATGGTTTCCATCCTTAAACGGGGCCCCATTTCTCCTTCCATTTCTTGGCATCATGGATCTCCTGCTTCTCTTCCTCAACTTCTTTCTTTCCATTCTCCAGGTTAATTTTTTATTTTCTTCTTCATTTTATTGTATTTAGTAGTTTTTTGTTGGCTGTTTATGTTTAATTTATTCTTAATCTAACTCTGTATGTCTATAAATTCATTACAAATTTGACATTTTTGTAATTAAAGATAGAGTCTTGTAATAGTATGATTTGAAAATACTTCAAAGATTTAATTTCTAGGGTTCTTAGTTGTTAATGAACTAGTTAGATGGATTACTGATATGGGGTTTAAAGTGAGTGCATTGTAGAATATATCAAGGAATTGGAAGAAGCAGATAAAGCTGGAGGGAAGATGTTGTGTGGTGGAACATTTCTAAACCCTGGTTCTTGGGAAGCTGCTCTTCTTGCTGCTGGCACTACTCTTTCTGCTATGAGATTTATATTAGACGGACATGGTAACATTGCCTATGCCTTAGTCAGGCCACCTGGTCATCATGCTCAACCCACTCAAGCAGACGGATATTGCTTCCTTAACAATGCCGGTCTCGCCGTTCAATTTGCATTAGATTCTGGTTGTTCTAAAGTGGCTGTTATTGACATTGATGTTCATTATGGAAATGGGACTGCTGAAGGCTTCTATCGTTCCAATCGAGTTCTTACTACTTCGCTTCATATGAATCATGGTTCATGGGGTCCTTCACATCCACAAAAGGGTACTATTGATGAGCTTGGTGAAGGAGAGGGGTTTGGATATAATATTAATATACCATTGCCTAATGGAAGTGGAGATCGCGGTTATGCGTATGCTGTGAAGGAGCTTGTTGTTCCAGCTATTCGCAAGTTTGAACCGGATATGATTGTCTTGGTTGTTGGACAGGACTCCAGTGCAGTAAGTATTTTTATTTTGGATTTGTAGATATATATATGATGATGCTTTTGACTGACATTTTGACTTAAGAATCCACATCATTTGTTGAAATTATATGTATCCTTGTTTGCTATGAGTCTATGACACTGTCCACTAGAGTATCTAGACTCCGAGAAGGATTTAGCATCTTGATGATGTTGATCATGTATTTAGGGGGACTGAAGTATGTTCAATTGGTAGAGTTGTTCTTTGATCCTCATGTAGTTCCTCCTATAGTGTAGAATTTAATGTTCATGAGATTGTGTATATGAACCCCCTTGATCGATTATAGTCCTGCACTACTACTGCTGCTGCTTGCCTAGTTATGTTTTGGTTCATGACTTCTCAATTAGTCAAAATTACAGTAGTAATATAAGCACTGTACAAAAGAGTCGGGAGATAACTTACATTACAGCGTTATGCTTCAAGTTATTATTTACATAATGTGAAACTGCCACTATTCTTGAATCATTGGTTTAAGTAGAACAATCAATAGTAAAGATAACTAATAACGTAAAGCAGCTTCCCTGGCTTAGGGAGAACAAGGATTTTCAGTCTTTGCCCTTATGAGTCAAGGTTTAAAATTTGAGGAGTGGAGGGTAGGTTATTTATGAAATATTGATAGTGGAACACATTTTGGCCGAACCAGTAGAGATGCTGGAACCCTGGTTATATGAACTAGGATCTGTCAAAGGTCTTGTAAAGACTGGAAAGCCAATTAGAATTAGCACTTTTCAGGGTTTCACTTAAGCCCTTCAATTAATATTCTGAAAAATGTGTACTAGCAGCAATGTTGTTGTGATAGTTGTTGCTCTGGTCTCAAAAGTTGCTGAACTGTGATGTTGTAGACTTAAAGGCAGAGAAACTCTGGTAGTTGTCAAGAATATACTGTTTTCGGGACTGGATGGGAAGAGCCTGTATTTCTATCTCTTGTGTCTTCAATCTTCACTGTTTAACTTGTAATTTATCAAGATTGCTATATTTTCTTGTTCCTCGCTATTTTCTTGAAGTTCATTGCTGAGTGCCATGGGTATTGCATTTCTTTGCTTACCTTTTGACTCCTCCAACTTATATCATCTTCAAGTAAAACAGTAGGGTCAAATTGAGATGTATGGGTTCGTTTGAAAACTGCTTAGCTTAGTAATGAAAGGATCATGGCAGTCATGTGAGATACTGGTTGATATTGGGGAGGGGGAAAAAGTCTTATGCTTATAACGCTCGCTAGGTTTAACAGTTTGTTTCCTCTCCCTGTTCTCCTAAAATTGTGCTTATCAGCAGACTACTTAATATTGCTTTTGGCTTAGCAATACTCACTTTAGTGTTGAACAGTTCTTAGATGTTTCTCATTGTCATCAGATTCAGAAGATATATTTTTTAGGATCAAAGGATTTCTTTAATTTTAGTTGTTGTGTGGGATCCATCAACTTCATATTCCTTAGCTCTGCTGAAATCCATTATTTCAGCTTTTGCTTTAGGCAGACATTAAAATTGTTAATAAATGTGAAGTAAATCAGTATCTCATAAAGGCAATTCTTCTGTATACATAGTTTGACCCAAATGGAAGGCAGTGCTTGACAATGGATGGATACAGAGCATTAGGAAGAATAGTTCGAGGCCTAGCCAATATGCACTGCAATGGCCAACTTCTCATAGTTCAGGAAGGTGGTTATCATATTACTTATGCAGCCTATTGTCTTCATGCAACACTTGAAGGTGTGCTGAATGTTCAACTCCCACTATTATCTGATCCTATTGCGTACTACCCAGAGGATGCTGATTTCACTAAGAAGGTCGTCGATAGGATGAAGAAATATTACACAATAAATGTTCCATTTCTGAGAGAAATCATCAAGGAGCAAAATTGAAGCTGCTTCCTTCTTCAATGTTTTAATTACCTCTACTTCTACAGACCATGTGAATACTACATGTAAGTGTTAACTTTAATTTTGAGGATTACTGGTGCAGTAGTTGTGTTATACACCCTAAAATTTGTGTTTTTTCTAATGTGAGACAACTCGTGTGTTATTGAGCAAATAAATTGTGGGGTTAATGGTGATATTATGATGTGTATAGCCTTGTGAGTGTTGTAACTGTTTGTAATTATACTATTACATTGGTGTTATATTATAAGTAATCACTTGTACTGCAGATGATGGTGAGATTCATAAAGGACCTCCGAATTCGTCGTGAAATAAAAGCCTGATTTTTTTTTGCAGCAAGTAGGCGTATCTTTTTCTCTCTTTACATTTTAAATATCTGGTTATCGATCAATTAGCATTATTCTTTGAAATCTAAAAATGATGATTCAACAAATTGATTAGCAGACAGAGATGGGCCTGAAACTTTTCAAGGGGGGGAAAAAAAGCATAATTGAAAATTTGAAAGGTAGGGAGGCAAAATGGGGTCTTTATCATTGGTTTTTTGCTCGATGAAAAAAAATAATAATGTTGAATTTTAAAATAATTTTGAATTTGTTGATTAGCACATTTTGTCTAACTTATTATGTGGTCAAATTTGATAGAGGGAATCAAGGAATGGGAGTTGAGATTGGTTCTTGTTTGTACGTAGCGCTGCCAACGAAGTTTAACCCACACATCCCAAATTCTTGTCCCTCTAAATTTGAATATGACTATACTTTGCATTGCAAATCTTGTGGTTGTGAACATGTACTGTCTGCTGTGCTTCTTCAGTTTTAGATGTTTGCATGATCAATAATCTTGACGTGTTTTAGGAAATTTCAAACTTGATTGATTTGACCGGGATCCATATCGATCTTACAGTGTTGGTTTATTATTAGCCTATTAAAGCATTTATCCATATGGAGTATTTGTCTAGCACAAAATGGTGTGAATACGAAAGATTGGTGTAGGAGTAGGACTAATGAAAATGCATGAATTTGAATGTTTAGCTCCAACTTAAGACTTTAATCTATGAGTTCAACTTTAATAGAGTAAATCCTAATCCTTTTGATGAGAAAAAGGGGATATATTAGGCGTGACCGAAGATGAAAGAGACCGCAATCAAGACAAACAACAAAAGTGAGATATCATCATATCACAAAACCAACTCAGGCAAGTACTAGTATTAGATTACGTGACCAACTTTCTGTTTACAAAGAAGGCAATACCCTTATTTAATTGCCTCACCAAAAAGAAGCTGAGCAGCGGGAATCAATGACAAAGATAGGATCTTATATTCCATTATTCTACAACAAATCCCATACCTGATTCCCCATATCAACTTGCTTCAATTTTTTATTGAGTAGTGTCTCTATATGCTCATACATATAGATGATGTAGTGCTTTTTTTTTTTTTAAAGATCTTTTAGGTTGTAATTTGCCCTTTATTTATGAAGTTCTCACTATTCGATGATGTAGTAGTTAGGATAGGGAGATCAAGAATGAGGAGTTTTAATTGATAATCCTAAAGAAGTCATCGGGTTGTGTTTCGTGATCTGGGGTTGAACCGAGTCAACCGTATACTAAAGTGCCTTTTAAAATATTGTCTCAAGCACAATCTAAGCCCATATACCTTCTGCATTAGCCGTGTCAAAACTACTTGCCAAGACACTAATTTTAATTTGCTATGCTCTGTTATGTTTGGTCATGTCTTGTCGTATCTTTTTATGAAAAAAAAATGCAGTACAGAGCTCTAGCTAAGATTTGCACTCAATAATTGCCATACTCACCTTATACCCATACCATTTTTTTTTTTAAAAAAAAAGAAAAAAGAAAATTGTTAGTGTCGTACCTAAGGTCACAATAGTGTGTCATCTAACACAGTAAGTCCATTGATTGAAGCATCCAATCAGTATTCACTGTAATAAGTGCATAAATCATTAAATTGCTCTTTAATTCTGTATCAGTTTGCATTCAAATCAAAAGAATTAGATCCAATAAGTCAATACCAATACACTATCATTATTGTGAGATTTGTGAGTGTCACAATCTAATTTTTGTTCTTGTTGAATTTGATTTGATAAGTCACACCCGTAAAAGTCCCATACTACAAAATTTTCTTTTTAATTTGTTGAAAATAATTGGTAAAATAGCATTTTTTGATAATTTTGTTTTAATATTTTTTTCTCCTAAGATGGAACCCACACTCCTTTTTAATTTGTTGAAATCAATTGGTAAAAATTGACAGATGCAATAGATGGGATGGAACAAGTAAAATTTGTCAAAAAAAAAATAAAAATAAATAAAATTATATGACTTTGAATTGTGGTAAGATTTTAAGACTTGAAGATTATAGCATCAAATCATACTAAAGATTACAATTGTTTGGGGTAAAAATACCCTAAACACGTGGCCCAATGGCCTAGTGACACGTGGCATCCAGCCGTTGGTCAGCAGGGCTCCAATCCTCTGCTGACACGTGTCCTCTAAACCCTAAAAGGGGAACCATCCCTTCCCCACTATAAATAGTGGAAGGACCCTCATTAATGGGGTTTGGAACATTTGTTGTTCACATTGAATACTCCTCAAAAAGAAAAACACTTACCCCGAGCAATATTAATTGCAGAATTCTCCCATTACGCGAGAAGTAACTTCTACATTACGTGCATTCTACCTCCCGTATCTTTACTAACTTGATCGTCGGAGGCGGAGCTCCTACCCCCAGGAGTCTTCGTGATCTTGCAGGCACAGGCGTCGAAGGGCATTCTTGGAATTGTAACTCTCCCGCAGGACACATCAAAAAACCCCGAAACATTTGGCGCCGTCTGTGGGGAGAGTACTTCTAAGATGACTTCTGATACTGTGTCACCGAATCAGGGCAAACGGCCTGTGGTCGAGCCTGAGGTCCAGACGGACCATGAAAGTGGCGACGAAATTGAAACATATGTGGCCCCGGATGGGTCTTTCAGAACGAAGCACCTTCGTGCTAAAGATAGAAGAGAACGGGAAATCAGCCAAGCTGCTCCCAACAACCCAGCCGGGCAACCGGCTGGAATTGCCCAAACGGTGGAAGGCTCAGCCCCCGTTACAAGAAACGAACTCATGTCTTTCATGAATAGTTTCAAGGGTGAGATCAAGAGCCTCATCCGGTCAGCTACTCCAAAGAAGGGTCAGCCGGCCAAGAAGCCTTCTGGAAAGAAGGCGGTCAAAGAACGAGTTCCTACCCCTCATCCCAAGCCAAAGGAGGGGGAGGGCTTAAGGTTTGATCCAAGCAGACTCCGTTTTCCTCAAGGGGAGCTGCGAAAGGCCATCCGGCACGTACAGCCGGATGGCTCCAAGAAAACATTCTCAGACGCCCGCACATTTCTCCAAGAGAAGCGAGGTCAGGCGTCTGCGTCGGCCTCAACGTCGACCTTCCCGGACAGTTTCCATGACGTCTCACACAGGCGTACGGGAACGAACCTTAGGAGCCAGACGGACGAAGCTTCTGCCCGGTCTGGACCCAAAGTGATCCAGCCTGGCCTATTCGGCACACCGAATGGGTTGGGTGGATCCCCTTTCATGTCACCGGGTCTTTTCGGTGGGCAAGCGCAGCAGCCGTTCCAACCCACGGACTGGCAGCTGCGCCTGCTAAATTTGGGGGAACAGCCAACGGCGTTCTCACCAGAGATAACCCAGGCGGCACAGCCGCCTAAGATCAAGAATGTTTTAGTGGGGGCCTATGATGGCACCACCAACCCAGAAGACCATCTAATGGCCTACTCTAACCTCATGTACCTCCAGGGGTTAGATGATGTCGTCTGGTGTCGATGCTTCCCGGCTACCCTCAAGGGCATAGCCCAGCGGTGGTTTGGTAACCTACCAGCCGGTTGCATCAACAGCTTTCGAACTTTGGCGTACTTGTTTACGTCAAATTTCTCAATGAATATTCCTGCCAAAAAGACTAGCCTCGACCTAGGGGCAATACAGCAGGGCGACCGCGAGGGCCTCCGGTCGTACGTCAGACGGTTCAATCTGATGAGAATTCAGATTCCAGGACTATCAGACGAAGTGGCCTATACAGACTTCTTCCGAGGTCTGAAGGATGGGTCGACCTTTAAGTTTGACCTCGTCCGGAAGAGGGTTGCTACCCTCCAAGAGGCGTTAATTGAAGCTGAAGCCTATATACAGGCGACGGAGCTTTGTGCTGTCAAGCAGCCGTCAGATTATAAAAAGTCTGACAAAAAAGAGAGCCGGCAACAGCATCAGCCGGCAAGAAAGGAAGAAAAGAGAAAAGGGGTCTGGGCAGCTGACCGATCAGGACAGCCGGCCCAGAAGATCAGGCGGAAGTCAGAACCATATGTCCCCAAATACGAGTTCACAAAAGATTGCTCCACCATCCTCCTGGAAATCAAAGACCGGATGTCTCTCGACAAACCGGCTGAAATGAAAAGCCCCGTGAATAAACGGGACAAGAGCAAGTATTGCCAATACCACGAGGATGTTGGCCACGACACCAATGGCTGCTATAGCCTCAGGCGGCTATTGGACCGTCTGGCAGATGAGGGGGCCCTAAAATCCTATATACCCAAGGCTAAGGGTAATACCCAGGCCAAGAAAGGGCAGGCGGCAAAAACCGGCCCAGTAAACTCCGAGACGGATGAAGAGACCATCTTCACCATAGCATACGGTTTTGCCGGAGGGGGTCCCACCATCCGGGGCACCAAAGACAACATCAGGAAGCTGGTCAACTCAGTGGATGAGGGTCAGGCGTCGAAAGACATCTTCCCTGAGGTCCTTATTTCTGAAAAGGACCGGGGCAAGGTCAGGCGGCCTCATGATGACCCCATCGTCATCGAATGCAAGGTTGCCAACCAGAAGGTTGGCCGGATCCTAATAGACACCGGGAGCTCGTCTGACCTAATCAGTTATCAGTGCTTGACCAAGCTCAAGTACACATCCGGTAACATGCACCAGGCTCCTCACCCACTAGTCGGTTTTGGGGGTGGAGTAGTGCATCCGGTCGGAAGCATAGATATTCCGATCCGGCTGGGTGAAAAGGGGCAAGGACGCCACATGATAGTCAAGTTTTTAGTTGTGGAGGAGCTGTCCGCCTACAACATGATATTTGGCCGTCCTACCCTCAACGCATCTAAGGTTGTCATCATCCCGTCCCTCATGTTGGTCAAATTTCAAAAGGATGATGGTACAGTCGGTGCCCTAAGCGGGGACCAGAAGACGGCAAGAGAGTGTTATCTCTCTGACGTCAAGACAACTGTGGGTGCAGCCGGCCAGGGCGATCCCATAGATATTGATAACTGCGATCCAGCAGTCCCGGCTCCAAGGGCAGCCGGTATGAAAAGAAAGGCGGACCAACTGGCACCCGTCAAAAAGGAGAAATAACAATCACTAGCCGGGGAAAGGTCAGATGACCAACGACCTCAGCCGGCTGGTGACTGCCTTGATGTCATCCTAGATGACAGCCGTCCTGAAAGAACAGTCAAGGTCGGGACGGTAGCCTTCGAACGGTTGGGAGAAGGTTTGCTCCAGCTGCTGAAGGAATTCAAAGACATCTTTGCCTTTGAAGTGGAAGAGATGCCAGGCGTCAGCCCGGATCTTGCTGTCCACAAGCTAGCCGTAGATCCCAAAAAGCAGCCGGTTAGGCAGAAAAAGAGGGATCATGGTGGAGAAAGATATCAAGCGGCAGCGGCTGAGGTCAAAAAGCTGTTGGATGCTGGGTTCATTAGGCAATGCTACTACCCGGATTGGGTGGCAAATGTCGTTCTAGTAAAGAAGCCGAACGGTACTTGGCGGATTTGTGTGGATTACACAGATCTGAACAAAGCATGCCCAAAAGATAGCTACCCGCTTCCAAAGATTGACAGCCTAGTCGACTCAACAGCCGGCCATGCGCTAATGAGCTTTATGGATGCTTATTCCGGCTTCCATCAAATACCTCTCTGGAAGAAAGATCAGGAGAAGACGGCTTTTGTCACTGATCAGGGGTTATTCTGCTATACGGTGATGCCGTTTGGGTTGAAGAATGCACCGGCTACATTCCAGCGCATGATAAACACCGTTTTTATCAACCAGATTGGCAGGAATGTAGAGGCGTATATCGATGACATGATAGTCAAATCCAAGCTACAGACGGATCACCTAGCAGACCTGCGAGAAACCTTCACCACACTCAGGCGGCACCGGGTCATGCTTAACCCAAAGAAATGCGTATTTGGTGTTGAGTCTGGGAAGTTTCTCGGATTCTTGATTGACCAAAGAGGCATCGAAGCTAATCCGGAAAAAATACAGGCGGTAATTGACATGAAGTCTCCCCGCACTGTAAAAGAAGTCCAGAAGTTGACCGGTTGTCTGGCGGCATTGGGGAGGTTCCTCAGCCGGTCAGGTGACAAGTGCCTCTATTTCTTTCAGGCAATCAGGAAGAGGTCAAGGTTTGAATGGGGTGAAGAAGCAGAGGCGGCATTCCAGAGGCTTAAGCAGCACTTGCATTCTTTGCCAAGGCTAGTGAGCCCCCTACCCCGGGAGGTTCTGTACATGTACCTAGCCGTCTCTGATCACGCCCTTAGTGCCGTTCTCCTCGCTGAGAGAGACGGCATTCAGCTGCCGGTGTACTTCATCAGCCATGTCTTAAAAAATGCTGAGCTCCGGTACCCCATGATCGAAAAATTTGGGTTGGCCTTATTCGTAGCAGTCAAGCGGTTGAAGCCTTATTTTTTGGCACATCCGGTTGTGGTATACACAGATCAGCCGCTCAAGCGTACGATGACTGCTATAGAGTCATCCGGTAGAATGATCAAGTGGGCTGTTGAAATACAAGGCCTTGAGATAACTTTTGAACCCAGGCGGGCAGTGAAAGGTCAGGCGTTTGCCGACTTTATTGTCGAGATGACTAGGCCGGTGCACCCGGAAAACCCTGATCAGGTCTAGAAGTTATTTGTAGACGGCAGCTCTACGATGAACGGCTGTGGTGCAGGTGTTATCTGTCATTCCCCGGAAGGGGATAAGTTTGAATATGCACTACGGTTTAAGTTCCAAGCCTCCAACAATGAGGCAGAGTATGAAGCCCTGCTAGCCGGATTGCGCATGTGTAAGGCAGCCGGTGCAAGAAAGGTCGACGCCTGCTCAGATTCACAGCTGATAGTTAGCCAGTACTTTGGTGACTACGAAGCCACCCATCCGGCTATGATCAAATATTTGCAGGCGGTCAAAGAGGAGGCTGGGTCCTTCGATGAATTCCATCTGCGACAGGTGCCCCGGTCTGAAAACAATCAGGCGGATGCCCTCTCAAAGTTGACATCATCAGCCTCCGGTGATGCTCCTAGGACGGTCTTTTGGGAAGTCATTGAAAAACGAAGTATTCAGAATGACCCCATTGGAGTCTTGGACAGAACTGCTACCTGGATGGATCCCATCCGGTCCTTTTTGACGGATGGTACCTTGCCGGATGACCCTTCAGAAGCATCAGCGCTCAAGAAGCGTGCTTCAAGTTTTTTTATGCATCAAGGGGAACTCCTCCGGAAGGGATACCTGCAGCCGTTTTTGAAATGTGTAACCCCGGATAGGGGGAGAGAAGTTTTGGAAGATCTGCACGCGGGGTTTTGTGCCTCGCATATTGGCGGCAGGTCCCTGGCCAGAAGAACCAGACGGCAAGGGTACTTCTGGCCCACTCTTGAAGCGGATGCCATGGATCTAGTAAAGAGATGCGACAAGTGCCAAAAATTCGCTAAGTTGATACATCAACCGGCAACAGAACTCACGGCAATCCATAGGCCGGTTCCGTTTGCTAAATGGGGCATGGACATTTTGGGACCTTATACGCCTGCATCAGGCGGCCGCCGCTACATTCTTGTAGCAGTAGACTACTTCACCAAATGGGTTGAGGCAGAGGCGGTGAAAGGGATTAAAACGAAAGACGTGATTTCTTTCATCTGGAGAAACGTCATCACCCGGTTCGGGGTTCCAATGTCCATGGTTTTCGACAACGGACCGCAGTTCGAAACGCCTGTCCTGAAGACCTGGTTGGGAGACCAAGGAATTTCCCATTGTTTTGCATCCGTTGGCCGTCCTCAGGCAAACGGTCAAGTTGAGGCTTTTAACAAGTTGATCTCAGACGGGATAAAGAAGAAAGTAGAAAGAGCCGGTGGACTATGGGCAGAGGAATTACCTCATGTCCTTTGGGCTATCCGGACAACCGAAAAGGGGGCAACCGGTGAGACCCCATTTCTCATGACATACGGCACTGAAGCAGTTCTTCCCATTGAACATTATGAGCCTACTCTACGCATTATGTTATATGATGAGGAGGCTAACTGGGAAGCCATGCGGTTAGCATTAGACGCTCTTCCAGAGCGAAGGGGGAATGCTGCCTTGCGTCATGAGATCTACCGTCTGCGTATGACTAGAGCCTACAACAAGCGGGTTCGTAAAAGACCTTTGAAAGAAGGAGATTTTGTGCTTCGCAAAATGGAGGCAACCGGTAGGGCCAATGAACAAGGCAAATTAACCCCAAATTGGGAGGGACCCTACCGGATCTTTGAAGAAGTACGAGACGGCACTTACCGCCTGGAAACTCCAGACGGAAGAAAGTTGCCTAGAACTTGGAATGTAGATAACCTCAAAAAATACTACTTCTAAGCATTGTACATCTTTTGAAAATTTTCAAATGATTAATGAGAATTACATTCAATTTTGTATACAACCGCCATGTCTTGTGCCTACCACAAGCGGCACCAGTAACTAATTTTTTCATCCGGTGACACCCATACGGGTGAATTCATCGAAGAGAACATCTCCCATTTGGGTGGTAAATTGTTCTAAGAGATCACACAGGCGGACAAATCCGCCTGACGATCCTACGCACCAAAAAAGGGCAGGCTAGCAACCCCAAACTTGCAGCCGGCTCACTTTTTGGACAAATCCGCCTGACTCTCTAAGAGCAGGCCTAAAATCATCCGGTGACACCCCTACGGGTGAATTCATCGAAGAGAACATCTCCCATTTGGGTGGTAAATTGTTCTAAGCGATCACACAGGCGGTCAAATCCGCCTGACGATCCTTCGCACCAAAAAAGGCAGGCTAGCAACCCCAAACTTGCAGCCGGCTCACTTTTTGGAAGGACAGCCGGTACTCAGTACCGACGCCTGACTCTCTAAGAGCAGGCCTAAACATTTGGTCTAGGCCATAATTCATTCAGGGGTATGCTTGCAAAAGCCCAACCGGTGAATGGACATCCTAATCTGGCGTGATTCTTTTGCGAAGTCCCGACCGGTAATTCAGTATAAACCGACTGGCTCCCGAATCTAATGTTGGCACTTAGTGTATATTCGAGCTATATCATATGGATAGTCCCTGGCTTGCAAAGACCCAGACCGCTATCCAGGGGCAATTACCCAGACGCCATCCGGTTTGGTTTTGGGTCAAAATTTCTTCGCCTAGTTTGCGAAGACCCAGACGGCAGTGTTACCGGTGGGGTCTTCTTGGCAACCCTTGCAAATTTCTTCGCCTAGTTTGCGAAGACCGAGACGGCAGTGTTACCGGTGGGGTCTTCTTGGCAACCCTTGCAAATTTCTTCGCCTAGTTTGCGAAGACCCAGACGGCAGAGTTACCGGTGGGGTCTTCTTGGCAACCCTTGCAAATTTCTTCGCCTAGTTTGCGAAGACCCAGACGGCAGTGTTACCGGTGGGGTCTTCTTGGCAACCCTTGCAAATTTCTTCGCCTAGTTTGCGAAGACCCAGACGGCAGTGTTACCGGTGGGGTCTTCTTGGCAACCCTTGCAAATTTCTTCGCCTAGTTTGCGAAGACCCAGACGGCAGTGTTACCGGTGGGGTCTTCTTGGCAACCCTTGCAAATTTCTTCGCCTAGTTTGCGAAGACCCAGACGGCAGTGTTACCGGTGGGGTCTTCTTGGCAACCCTTGCAAATTTCTTCGCCTAGTTTGTGAAGACCCAGACGGCAGTGTTACCGGTGGGGTCTTCTTGGTTATCCTCGCAGAAATATGTATAAAAAATAACAAGAATTCTAATATTGGAGTGCAGAAACATAAAAAGCATTCAAAAGCCGGCTCAGCCGGTGAAAATGTTTATATTCAAAATAAAAATTATTACAGTTTAGCCCATCTCATCCGGCGCTATTACAAGATAATGCTAGGCTCGCAGGCCGGGAAGTAGTTGCTACTCCAGGCGAACAGTGAGCCGGTCCTATTCCGGTTGGTTCTGGGTTGGATCTGGGTGAGCGGCTGCGTCGGCTTCAGGAACGACTTCTTCCTCTTCAGCAGCCTCCGCCTGCCGTCGCGCAATCTCCTCCCTAACCCAAGCGTCATAGGGTCCGGGCCCCGGCTCGTTCGCCTCCTCGGCCAGAATGGCAAGATCAGAATATTTGAAGGCGAGTTCCCAGACGGTGAAGTCCGCCTCCGGGTGGATGAGGGAAAACGCCCGTTGCATCCGGTTTGCACAGTCATGCTCATTCTCTTCAATGAGCCTCTCCTGCTCCGACTCCAAGGTGGCCTTGAAGTTCTCATTGGCAGCAGTCGCCTCTTTGCGCAGGCGCTCATTCTCTTTGGCAAGGCGGCCATTTTCAGTCTCCGCCTTGCTCAGCCGTTGGAGGGGCTCAGTCTGTTCCTCCAACTTTTTATTGGCATCATCTAGGGACGCCTGCAGTTGGTCAACTTGGTTTTTCAGCTGATCAATCTGCTGTTGGAGGGCTTTGGTATTCTCCGCCTGTTCCATGCGTATAGATTTAGATTCTAAGCCATTCATGTACAAAGAGTAGTCAGCAACATTATGGGCGTCATCAACAGCCCGTTTGCTTCTCCTTACCTCCTCAGACTTGCGGGTATAAGCTCGTTTGAGCCCCTCTACGCGCAGCATAGCCTGCAAAAATACAGCCGGTTAATACTGCATACTTAAAAATGCACGTCAAGAAAATTACCGCATGGTTGTTGGAGCATACGTCGGCCAGGTCGACCAGCACCCGGTCGGCATTAAAGGAGTTGATCCCAGGGATCGCCTCCTTTTCGTCCCTGGGGACGGCTTTCAGCATGGCCCGGGCATATTGTGCCCCGTCCGGCCAGCGGGGAGAATTATCTGCACCAGAAACAGACGGTGAGGAACTCGCATATGCTCTGCCTATAGATTGCCGGCTGATTGGAGAATCCCCCGGCTGCGATCGAGACTGTGAATAAGACTTGACCCGCATGGGCAGATCAAGCAGTGTAAGGTCGAAGTTACCTTGGCGGCCCGAACGGCCTTCAGAGGGACCGGTTGCGGTCCTCAATGGGATGGCAGAAAGCACATCCGCAGATCCAGGCCCGTCTGGGACCCTTATTGATTTGCCGCCGGTAGTTTGCCGGTCGGCTGTCTTCTGCACCTTGGATGCAGACTCTTGTTGGGTCGGCGGAGGCCTGACCTGTTTTTGAAGGGACCGGGGCATCTGCTTCCCGTCCTGTAAACGAGAAAAATATAAGTTATGGGATAAAAGGATTGAAATAAACGAGAAGGATCAGACGGTTATACCTTCTTCGCCGCCTGGGCAGCAAGTTTTTTCTCGAGATTGGCTTTCCGGATGTCGGCAGCCGACCTAGCCGGTGTCTTCTCAGTGGGCAGCATTTTCTTGGCTTCTTCTGCAGAGGAAGGCACACGGTTAGAATAATAAATAAGCAAGGAAATAAAAGCATCCGGTTCGAAAGAAACCGGCTGAGTTCCGAATACATACGTTTTTTAAACATGCTGCTTAGGCCACAAGCGGACAAGAAGCATTCGTCCCTAAAAAATTCATGTTTGGGCACCCAGTTTCTAGGTACCCTTACTATCTCTCCGGATGAGAGGGTGTCAGGAACTAACTCAAAAAACCCGGAGTCAAGGATGGTCTCTCTATCATCCTCCGGGACAGGGGGCAGGCAGCACTTGGTCCCCAAGAGTTCTGGTTTCCGGTTGTAGATCCGGAATTCTCTGTTCTCTGCCGTAGTTGGGGCCTTAACCAAGTAGAACCGGTGCTTCCAGTCCGACCATTTGGATGGCTTGTCCAAGGTCATAAGGTATTTGGGCTGGGTGGTCAAGGTATACCAGGCTCTCCAGCCGCCTGGGCTCCTACTCAAGTAATGCATGTGGGCAAACGCCTCCCAGCCGGGGTTGAGGCCCTGCATCTCGCAGGCGGCGATATACCCTAAAATATTTACCCATGAGTTGGGGGTTAATTGCCAGAGACCTAGGCCATACCCCCTAAGTATGGCTTTTATTGTGTCGTGGAGAGGGAAGCGGACTCCGGCCACGAAGGCCGCCTCGTAGCACCCGAACCAAGCGTTCGCGTTCGGTTGTCCATCCTCCCACCATATTGTTCCCAGAGCAGCCGGGACTTTTATTGTATAGTCACCACCCAGCGGCCGCCGTTTGATAAAATCTGGCAGCGCAGCCCGCATGAGCTCACGGTCCTTGGAGGAGACGACGATCATGAGAGGATCGTTCCTATTATCCCAAGAAGGCCTCTCCGCCTCCTCGCTATCCTCAGATTCGGTTAAGTAGCTGCTACTGCTACTTTGAACGTGACCGGCATCAGAGCCGGCTGGGGAGTTGGAGACCTCCTTATCAGAGTGATAAGTCCTATTTTGCACATGTTTTAGGTGGGTATCTAAGCTCATTTTATTACAAAATTAGAGATCTTTGGTGCATATTTGCATTATTTGCTTAAGTTGTGCTCTACTACTCTTCGTTTGTGTGTTTTGATGAATTTCAGGTGATTTATATGCAAATGGAGTATGGTTGGCTAATATTGAGTATAATAATCATGGAGTATGAAAACATATTGCTTAAGAATATCAAATCATGTGTTCGAGACGAACTTGAGTGAAAATGAAGCAAAACGTTGATGAAATACTTGACAAATATGACACCTGTTCACTATTATGCTCATAACTTTTGATATACAAATGATAATGGAGTGATTCAAATTGCATTGGAAAGTAGACTTGAAGACCTTCCCAACGATATATTACACGCCTCAAACAGAGCTCCGGATATGAAGTTATGACTGATTTAAGATGAGTTAAATACAAACTATTTGCTGCAGCCTCTACGTGCCCGATCGGGCATGGTCCGCCCGGTTGGACCGGGCACATAGGAGTTCGATGATTTTTGGTATTTTCTAAGGTAGAAAGCAATTTATGAAGACCGCCCCACGCGCCCGATCGGGCAAGGTCAGCCCGGTTGGACCGGGCACGTGGTGGAAGAAGTGCTACGAAGGAAAGCAACTCCGTACTCTCACCGCCCGATCGGGAGGTGCTTGCCCGGTTGGACCGGGCACAGTTATGCGACACTCCGTATTATTATTTTCTTATTTTTAGGTCATTAAGGGTATAAATACCCCTTGTAATCTTCATTAGAAAGAAGTTTTAAGTTTTCCATTATTCCTCTTTCTCTCTCTAGAGTTCTAGTTTATTACTTTGAAGCAATTTTAATTCTTTCCATTAGATTTGAGCATTGTTTTTCAACAATTTAATTCCTTTCAATTGAAGAATCCTTGGTATTCACTTCTACTTCATTCTCTTTCAATTATAATTGCTTTTCAATTATGTTTTCCATATTCATGATTGTTATTGTTTCTTTCAATATGTGTGAGTAGATTTTCTATTCCAAGATCTAGGGTAGCCCAATTATGATTGATGCATGAATTAAAACTTTAAATTCCCCAATAATAATCCCAATTGACATGCTTAATTGATTGTGTTTATGCCAATACTAGATTAGGAATAATTAGTATTGTTATCATCCCTTTGTTCTTATTGCAACGGAAGTTGGGTATTAACGGGATTAGGTTATTCCAATTAAGGGTTTGAAGATCATCACGGAAGTAGATGATTGAATAATTAGGAATCTAGGCATGGTGTTTAATGTCCCTTATTCGCTTGATTCCACGGAAGTAGGCTTGATAGTTAATTTGGGAAGCCATTGATAACTTGGAAGAGACCTTTGGTATTATTATTAGGGATTGCTTTTCTTCTTGTCAATTGATTTATATATTGGGGGTAGATTTATTAGTTTATCAATCATAATCGTGGTAATGCTTGATCTTGGATGCTTTAGTTTATTGATTAATATTTCCTCTAGTTAATTGTGTTATTTAATATATTAGTTGATTATTATCATCCATTATTGATTGGTGACGTGCTTAGTGATTAATTGAGTCTGATTAATTGAATGAACCATAGTCTCTTGGGATTCGATCCTTACTTGCCCTACTACATAGTTAGAAGGAATAGTTAGGTTATTTTTGTTAGGTACGCGATAAGCCTATCAAATTCTGGCGCCGTTGCCGGGGACTAACGGTTTTCATCTAATTATTTGTGATTCGTTTTTGCTAAGATTTTGGTTTGTTGCTTTGGCTATTATTAACTTCTTTTTCTCTTATGAGTTGATGATATACATGCCTTGGAGATGGATGATTTATTGTCACGTCTTGCATCTGGCCATTGTTCTTGTTATTATCTTTATCATGAAAACCCTGATTGCCCTTATAGTGAGTATTTTGTTCGAGCTCCGGATGATTTTAGAATCTTTCCATTCATATATGATTATTCTAAAAAACGGTTTGTTCTAAATGAAATTTATTGGAGGATTCATGATGAATATTATCATAATTTGTATAATACGTCGGAGGAAGAATCATTTGTTGAAAAACCGATGGTTAAAGAGTCATTGGTTATAGAATCAGTGGTTGAGGTATCATTGGTTCCAATAGAAGAAGAATCATTAGTTGTAGAACCATTGGTTGAAAAGTCATTGGTTGTAGAACCAATGGTTGAAAATTCTTTTTCTTTTGCTAATGAACTTATTCGTGAGCGTAAAATAATAGAGACGTTATTGGGTGATGATAAAGAACAAGACTACCTCCATGTTCGTTCTATTAATTCTAAATTTTTAGCGGAGGAAGCAGAAGGTTGTGGTGTATCTTCATCTTTTTCTTTTGATTTTTCTTTTTACCTTGAGTTATCTTTGTGTGCTCCTAATCTTTTCTATGTAAGGATTACTGTGCTTGCAATTGAGCCCTATATAGTGCTTAATGAAATGTTTGCAGGAGCGTATGATAAGTTACTCAAGGCGTTAAATTCTTCTGATGGAAGGAGAATGGTCAAGCTTAAGACCTTGATAAACTAGCGCTTTGCGGGAGGCAACCCGTATTTCATTATTTTTATTTTAGTCTTTTCTAATTTTTGTGTGTTTTCATTTTTCTTTGATTCTTAGAGAGGTAAGGAGAGTACATCTTATGCTTGTGGGAGTTCTCTTGGTGCAGATTTTGATCTAAAAGGCTGATTTAAAAGGAGAAGAATTCGCTGGACTGCGTTCGAGTTCGATCAGGAAGAGCTCGCCCGATCGGGCGCGCGTATGGATCAGCAAAACTGCTCAATTTCGACAGGCCATAACTTTCTGGTTAATTATCGGATTTTTTTTATGTGACCTATCGTTGGAAAGATCTTTAAGTATACTTTCCAATGCAATTAGAATCACTGCATTATATTTTATACATCAAAAGTTATGATCAAAACAGTGCACATGACTCAATTTTATTCTTTTTCCCACTAACACTTTGTTTCGTTTTTGCTCAATTTTGTTCCAAAGAGATGCATTGCAATCCTCGAGGCTTTGGTGACATTATTTTGGGTGATGATGAAGATGAGGTTTGACTACAAGTTTCCCTTTAAGACAATGAGGACATTGTCTGATTTAGCTTGGGGGGAAGTTCTTGTGTACACAAGGTACATCTTTCACTCTCTCTTTCTACTTTAGTGTGTTTTCACTAGCAGTAAGGTTTAATGCTTTTTTCTGGAAAAAGAAATGAAAAATAAAAGAATCATGATAATGAACGGCCAACGACCATTGAACTACTTCCCTGTGCCCCTATCCTTTATGCCAAAAGGTTTTGATTTATTTTCGATTGAAAGACTTGCATAGTGGACTAAAAGATCATGATTTGACCTTGAATTTGTTGATCCCTAGTAGGAGTCAAGGTTATTTAACTATGTATGATTCAGGAGCTTGACTGTGTTAACCGTGAGGCTTGAGCCTTATATATTCATTCTTGTGTGTGTTTAGTTCCTGGTGTAGCATTGATCTTAGTTTTGACTTTAGACTCTTAGTAGTGTGTCGTAATGCATTGCACGTGCACATTGAAATGACGAAGGCCATGTTCATTAGGTAGCCTCCAGACAAAATTAGAACATCAGTTCCCTTCTTGCTTACCCATGTTGTAGCTTGACTATATTTTTCATTAACTCCACAAAAATTACCCCTTGGCCCCAATTTGATTACTTTTCCCAAGTCTAGCTTGGGGGAGCTATTTTATGCGGTATTTTTGCGTGATTCTGTTTCAAGTTGCAATTGATGCGAAAATATTGAAAAGAAAAGGAAGAAGAAGAGAAAAAGTGAGAAAAGGAGGTTTGATTGAATTACTTGAAAAAAAAAAAGTAACATTTCTTGAAAAAGAAAGAGAGAAATAAAGAAAAGAAAGAAAAATATTTGGAAAAAGTTTCAAATGAAAAATTGTTGGATTGAAATAAAAAAAATAAAAAGATAAAAAAAAAAAAATAAAGAAATGAAGCAAACAAGTAAAAGAAGGTTGAAGAGTTGAGAATGTAGGTGGATGAGATGATGGTTGTGTTTTCATTGTAATTGGGTTTGTGTTTCATTGATCGAAGTTGATGAATCGAGGTGTGACTCATCGCATTTGAT